GGGAATCCAGGTCCCACATATTTGGACCAGCAGCAAGTTAATTTCACATTAACCAGTTTTATAAAGGAGAAGTAACTACAGCAGAAATTCTATTCCCATCAATTTTAGGCTATTATATAATTACCTTTCAATCATGAATTAAAAGATTAACTTGAAGCAAAGGCCCTTCAACTATTTTTCTAGGGCAATGGAAATATTTTGCATCTACTGTATTTTCCAGAGTTGTGAAAGAGAATAGAACAGATTACAGATCACAACTAGCTTCTTCCAATAAATGTCACTCTTAATGTAAATTAGCTTTTTAAAATCAGCTTATATTAGCAAATCCATGAATATGATAAATAAGCGTTGTTAAAAGACAATACTCCATAATGGTACAATGACAGACATACCAAATGTCATACAAGTCATATATAGCTTCTATTTAAATTAAAGACAGATAGACATTGAACAGGCAGAAAAATGTGTTGTCTCTATTATTGATCTATATTCTGCCACAATAAAAATATTAGTAGATGGTATTGTCCTTATTTAAAGAGGCAAGTAGATGACTTCGTTTTCCGTCTCACCAAACACTGGAAAACCCCCATCAGTTTCTTTCTCCCTAACATAAGGTAAGTGGAGTGAAGTGGGCATTGAACGATGATTTAGTTGCCTATTAAGTTGCCTGACTAATATATAGTAAGTACTAAATACTAATTGTGTATGCTTCATAACCACAGATGGAAACAGCAGCCTATTCAGGTGATAAATGTAGCGCTTTTGCATGAGTTCTCAGAGATAATAAAAATTAAAAAACACAGCCACAGGGAACCCCTTATTAATAGAAGCAGTGGAAAACCTATAATGCAGTTTATTGGCTGAAAAAGGGGGTGGGGGGCAAATTTTAGACTTGCAAGATTGATGTCGGTCTTGCTGGGAAAACCAGAAAGAAATCACAATCAGATGAATTAAATCTACTTTATTGTAAAGCTGCATTAACAGAATCTTGCAAGTCTGAAGGTAAAATTCTTCCCCCCATCTCCTTTACAGACCGAGAAACTAAAGAGAATCTATTCTCATCCTCTTCCTGTGCTGTTTTTTTTAATCTGACTGTTGCCTTTGCAGCATCTCTTTGTCTAGTCTCCCAAGGTTTTTTCCCACATACCATTATAATATGTTAACAGATGCTAGGAAGCTCTGTCATTGGATATCACATATAATCTTGTCTATAAAATAATGGCAATTACATTGTGGGAAACAGATTCAAAGTCAAATTTAACTTCAAACTTGAAAAATACATCAGATATAGAATTTAATTCAATAATTAAAGCATTTTTGTACTACAATTTGATAATGTTCTGCATCTGACATTTGGGGTTCTCTTCATGTAAGGTTTTAAAACTTAAGTTATAACAATTAAAGCTAGATTTTTCAGTTTATACAGAAACTAATGCAATATTTTTTCTTAGTTTTTAATTTGAAATTCATATTATACTCACTACAATTATTACATTTTATTTCAATATTGATTTAAAGTTTTAAGTTGTAAGATTTTCTAATATGTAGAGTTGAATCCTTGTTATCTGAAAATAGTTTATCTCATCTCACAATATTTGTAAATCTTTCTTGTTCCTTTCTTTTAAAAAAAACTAAATTTATTAAAATTAAACTTTTATTAAATATTTATTGACTTAACACATTATCAAGCTATGAAGATTTATTTTTGTTGGACTACCATAGTGCTTCTAGCTTGCCTACAGTTGCGAGGGGGGAGGGAAGAGCTTGGGATCCACAGGTGTTGTCTATCAGTTGAGAGCTGAGGCCGTTTGAAGAGATGTTTTGGTGAACTGAAGTTTTCTTCTCATAACAAATGCTTGAAGATTAATTGGACAATGTGACCTGAACTGTAAGAGAGGGGAGAAAAAGTTTTACTTTTTTAATTATGTTTCCCGCCATATTGCCAGAGCTAGCTTTCCTTCTATCATAACGGTATGCCATGTCTAATAAAGTTTACATGAGAGATCAACATGTCTCCGATGATTTACTTCTTGGGCTTTTCAGCTGGAACTTGACATACACACATTCTAAATTACAGTTCCAAAGCACTGCAGAGCACTAACATAGGTATATTTCCTTACTATGATGTTACCAAAATAATGTATGATGATGTCACCAATGAAAGTGCCACCCTTTGACGTTTGCATTGCAACCTCATATGCTGGGAGAAGTTTGTATCAGACCTACATTTCATCATTCCCCCCCCTTTCCCTCCCTCCCCTTGCAAATGCCTACAGCCCTAATATATATTGTATGAAGTATGAAGCTTGTATATCTTATTTTACATTGTCTGCAGACATCTGATCAACCACTTCAGGTTAGATAGATTAGATGGACCATTGATCTAATAAAATTTTCATAGACTTTCAATCCTTGACCAGCCATTATACCTTTCTAACCAAGCTCCTTTTGATTCACCCCATCCATTTGATTAGAATATGGCTTATTATAATAAGAATCTTCACTTCAAAAGATGGTAATGATTACAGCAATACTCCAAAGTAGATTTTTATGTTTAAGAAACTAGGAATATCATGTGAAGTTGTTCTCCATGCTTCTTCTTTTTGTACATACCTGTTGAGAAAGGCAGGAAAGCTGCTTGCTTGACATACTATCCCACTGGAATCTAGGAAGTCTCTGGGTTATATTTGCATGGTTTCATTCACATTTTCATCTTTTTCTGCAGTTCTCAGGCTAATCCTAATTAAGGTGCAATTTTCAGTATTGCACATTTGAGAAGTTAAAAGGAACTTCTTTTGTTTTAATAGTAACATAGGATTGTCTAATTAAGTATCTTTCTGTGCTCCTCAGAATTCTGCAGTCGTACATTTTTGGACAGTCTTCAGGAAAGTTACGAATATGAAAGACAATATCATTATTATAACAGCTTCAAACAATTGTCAGACAAAACAAACAGAGGAGGTATTTTTATTTTATTCATGTATATTTATTATAGCTGCCCAACTCCAATGGACTCTGGGTGGTGTTCAAAGCAAAAAAAAAAAAAAACACAAAAAGAGATAAAACATAAAACTAGACAGATAGCCCACACTAAAATGATCTAAAAGGACACAAATTGGTGGCCCAATTTATTTTGGATGGAATCCTTTGTCATGAGCATGATCTATGATTAATGAGCTGATTTATTCAGCATAAACGGGACTGTCAATGTCTTTCAGAATTCATCTGAAACGGGTTGGCTACCAATAAACCTTTTCCATGTGTTTTGGAATTCGCCTCCTCAGTTCTTGCAGAGCAGTGCCCTCTCTGTGGGCACGCATGCCATCATCCCAGTCCTAGGCCTTCAGCTGGGTTTTATAAAACCTTTTCGATTTTGGCCTCCGCCACCGTGTGCAAAAAAAAAAAAAAAGGTTCAATCAATCAATCAATTTCAACTTCTCGCAGGAAAAAAAAGATCTCAAAGTTAGGACTGATTGAACTTTTTAGTCCCACTCAGTCTGCCGTTACCACCGCAGCCACGCTCACCCAATGGGCCATACCCAGCCAGTGGCCACACCCACCCAGCACCCAATGATACATAAGTGAGTTTTGGGTTGCAGTTTGGGTACTCAGTCTCTAAAAGGTTCGCCATCACTGGCCTAGCCTTTTCTACCTGTATTTTAAAAATAAGCAGAGAAGCATATCCCACTGTAACCTCTTCAAGGATGTAGATAATATCTTTACAGTTTCCCTTGCTCATATTCCTTTCCATTTTTTTGTGCATCTCCATAAGAAATGCACTGACCAGTCTTTTTGCTCTTAGCTCTTGCTGGTTGGGAGATATTTGAAAAAGACCTTGAGAAATGGGGTAAAGCTATGTTGCCTAGGGAAAGGTCAGACTGGCAAACAAGGCAAAGCCTGCAACTGCATAATGTGCTGACAAAGAGGCTCAGAAGAACCCTCACCATCTAGCTTCTCAGTCTGTAAAGGAAATGCCAGATTTGTACACTTGAAATATTATGTTAATCTAGTCCTACAATAAAGTAAAATTAGCTCATCTGGTCATATTTTCTGTCTGTTCTACCCGGGAAGCTTGACAGGAACTCATTATTCACTGCAACTTACTCACCTAATGAATAAACAAGTATCTTTCCAATTGTTTTGGATTATTCAATGAGCTTTTGCCACCATACACAAAAGTGGAAAATTGCCAGAAAACTGTCTATCTTGTGTCCAGCAAAGACATAAGGTAGACAAAGATGTGAGGGTATGTGGGAATGACCTTGGGAGACAAGGTAAAGAGAGGCAGCCAAGGAAATGATTTGTTAAAGGCAACTCAGTCCTCAACAAGAATATGGGCAGTGTAAGAGACTCGTAAGAGATCTTCCCTAGTTCCTTGGGCTGTAAAGGGAATGGGGAAGAAAGATTTGCAAGATTCTGCTAATGTAAAATCTGGCAATCTAGTTTATCTCACAAGGTTGATACAAGGTGCCTGAAAAGTGAACCATATGGACCAGAGTAGAAGGAATCATGTTAGCTAGTAGTTTGTCTTTTTGTGCTTTTTGTTTGCTTGGGCCACAAAGCAAATGTTAAAGGTTTCGAGGTTTCTAAGTTTAACCAGTTGCCTCATCGAAGTCGCTAAGCGTAAATTGAAGAAGTCGATAAATCCCTCATATCTCTTTGTACATACCACAATGCTTCTACCACACATAAATCTCTACGGGTTTTTTTCTTTCTTTCCAGAACCGTAAGGTCAGCTGGCGCACGTCAACCTCATTGATATTCTCACATCGGGTTATTCAACTTCCGGTTTGGGCGGTAGCAGAGCCAAGTCTTGAGTTTACTATGCAATGTTCATCTTAAATTCTCTCAACGCTATTGGTCACTATCCGTAAGTGGGTAGTCCTCTCTTCTAGTCATAAAGCTAGAGATTAGCCAATCGTCAGTCTTCTTTAGGTGAATGTCATAATTTTTAGCCAATAGACACTCTCTTACTCTTTCAAGGAAACGATGAGGGCGGGGTTTGTTTATCTGAACAGGAAACATGGCGGCTGCCGGGGCTGGGAAGGTGGCGGGCACAGTTGTCGGAGCTGTAGTAAAACCAATCTTCAGTCGGGATTTGGCTGAAGCCAAACGGCACGTGAGAGAATTATATAGAACTTGGTACCGCGAAATCCCAAATACTGGTGAGGGGCCGTGATTACGTTCGCGATCTCCGCTGTCAAGGTCGTAGGGGCAAGAAACGTTTAACTTAGTTTGAAAAGGAGCTTCGCAAACCGGAGTTGTCCTATGTCTTTCCTCTACGGCTTCTCCGGTCTGAAGATCACAAAGGGGTACTTTTACATTTTCACGGAAATTCCTTAAATGGAATGGCTACTCTAAATCGCCTTGATGACTAGACGCATAAATAAATAGGAGATAGTTGCTTGGATTAGGTTCATAAAGTTGGAAGGACCTAAGAGGTCATTTAGTCCAACCCCTCCATTCTGCAGGATTCACTACACCATCCCTGATAGATAATTACTCAGTCAAGATTATCGATGTATGTAAATATACGATTGTGTGCATTTGAGATAAGGATTTAGTGCATAATTCGAACTGTTCTATTGATTAATGGCCTGTTCTCTATTATCTTGCCTCATCATCTTTGGTTGCTAGGATTCATTCATAATCATTCATCTTTATATTCATTGTCATTGTTGACCATTCAGTGTATTCTGAATGTAGCCTGAAACTCATTGGAATTCTATCATGATTCAGAAATAAATGTATAAATATTAATTGCCTGTTAGCATATAGTACAGGACATTTGTCTGCAGAAAAAACACGTGAAATAGTTGCTGTTACAGATAGTTTCATAAATAGCCACAGAGTGGAAAGAAAAACTAAAAATTACCATGTGGATTTAGAAGGCCACAAGAGTTTCAAATGTATGTACCTTTTATTTTTTTTAAAAAAAAATCCAATTTTTATTTCATTGTAAATTGTAGTTTCACGTTTTGATCAAACTGATCCTCAAGACAGTTTACTTGAGAATCCCAATTATAAAAAACTCTGCCTTATAGTTTAAGATTTTGTATTGTTTTACATTACCTCAAATGATACATAATTTTTGCTTCTGCTTGGAAAATGAAAATAACTGCTTTACACCTATAACAAAAATGGGGTTTTTAAACACCTGTAGGCTGTATTTCCACAATATATTATCTAGTATAGTATTTAATATTGGGGCATGGGATGGTTACATAGTGTTGGGAAAGAGTTTTCCTTATGGAGAATCACTTAAGTGACTGATAGCATGAAGATCTAGTTATACATGATAAAATCAGAATAATCATATTTGATAGTGTTTTCTTATTTTCCTGCAGCTTAAATGATTTTTTCTATTAATTAATTTTTTCACATATATCACATAATTTTCAGTAAAACAACCTGTGTAAATTAGTTTTATTAGAAGTGATGATAACACTGACAACTGATAATGTCCATAGGATTATTTTTCATTCATGATCATTATTTTGCTTCTGGTCTAGTGCATACGTACCAGCTGGAGATTACAGTGAAACAGGGGCGTGATAAAGTACGAGAGTTGTTCATGAAAAATGCCCATGTTACAGATCCCAGAATTATTGATTTGCTTGTTATTAAGGTAAGACAAATAGTACTACGTAGTTCTAAATCCATAGCAGATGTAAGATTAGGGTTGTTATGAAGATAATTATTTCCTCTTTTTATCAAATCTGTGAAAATAGAAAGAATGAGAAGTTGTAACATATAGAAAATACCTCTTATTTGTATCAGCTATTTTTGTCTGAGTTTTCTTTCTTGGATGCTCTAGGTATGCTGTATTTATAGCATTCCTATGTTCTACTAAGCAAGTAACTTTTTAAAAAAGATAAAATTGTTCTAGTGTAATATTTGTGACAATCCCATACTGGCTCCTATAACCAGTAATTGTAGCTTGTCTATACAAGTGCTTAAAAACATGTTGCTTGATAATCTGGTCAAAGACTAGCTAACCAATACAGATGTCAAGTTGCCAGATTTGAAGTTTCCTACGTCTTTCCCCTTTTAGAGATAGGGATAAAATTTGCTCTCCTTCAATCTTTTGGAACCTCATCAGAAGTGCTCAAAGATCACCTGCAATCACCTCCACTATTTTCTTCAGTATCCTATATGTACTCCATTTTGGAGTCATATATTCAGTTAAATTAGCTAAACTTTCTCTCATTAACTCTTTTTGTGTATCCCCACTAGTACAAATATGATCAGCTAGGGCTCCATTTCCTTCCTGAGAGAAGACAGATGTCTTATCATCACTTATTAACAATTCAACATTTGCTTTTCACAATGGGCGCACATTCTCCTCAGTTTCTTTTTATTTCTAATATACCTATAGAAACATTTTCTGTAGTCTATAAGAAGCTTTAGTTTTTATTAAGTTTGAGCTTTATTGATGGTGACTTTGATTACCTTCTATTCATCTTTGCATTTTCTCCTCCAATTTCCTATATGTCTCTCTTTTTATCTTCAGCATTTTATAAAACCTGGCTCCTATCAATGCTGGCCTATTTAGATTTATCTCCTTTCTCCTTGTGGGGATTTTTGTAATTCCACTTTCAGTGTCTTGTTTCATTGAATTTCCCAGCTTTCCTGAATACTTTAAAGCAGTGGTTCTCAACCTTTTTAATGCCGCGACCCCCAACCGGTCGTAAGTCGAGGACTACTCAACCGGTCGTAGGTCGAGGACTACCCAACCGGTCGTAAGTCGAGGACTTTCCCTGCCCGGGAGCGCCGCGCATGCATGGTGCTGCCCCCTGCGCCAGCCAAGGCGTAACTGGCAAGGGGCAGCGACGGCGCAGGGTGACCACTGGCTGGGCCACCAGCTGGCCCAGCCCAAGGGAGGTAAGGCACCCGCCAGGCCCCACGTGCGCCAGCAACCCTCCCTGCGCCTGCCGGCCTCCCACCCCTGGCCCTCTTTTACTTACATTTTAATAGTTGCTCAGCAGGGAGGGGTGGAAACTTCCAAACAGCTCGCCTTCGCTGCAGACAACTTGCAGCACTGTTTGCAGAATGGGACTTTTGGCAGGCTCAGCAGGGCAGAGACAGCGTGGACAATTCCTATTGGCTTTTGAAAGCCAATAGAATTAGACTCTATTCAAGAGAGTCTATTCTATTGGCTTTCAAAAGCCAATAGAATAAAAGGGAGTAGCACAGCTAAGGAAAAGGGGAAAAAATGGCGGACTGCATTGTTTGGCGACCCCCGTGAAATGGTTGTTTGACCCCAAATGGGGTCCTGGCCCACAGGTTGAGAACCACTGCTTTAAAGATTTGTAGCTATTGAGTCCGACCTATTTTCCTTCAAAGTTTATCAAAATTCAGTCTTCTGATAGATAGCATTCATGTCTATCTTCCTCTGGACAATATGAGCACTTTTCCTCAATGTGTCAATCACTTTTACTTCTTCAACCAATTCTCCTTGTTAGTGAGGATTGAGTCCAGGATATCAGACAACCCTTTTAATTTCTCACACCTTCTGACAAATGACATGGTCAAGAGATGAAAAGAATTTGTTGGAGATTTGACTTGGCAGAGTTAAATTCCCATTACATATTAGGATAATTGAAATCATTCATAACCGAAATCTCTGCATCGCATAGGGTCAGGTTATCAGCAGGACTGCATCCCCCTAAAACAGCAGTTCTCAACCTTTGGGTCGCGACCCCATTTGGGGTCGAACGACCATTTCACAGGGCCGCCAAACAACGCGATCCGCCATTTTTTTCCCTCGGGGCGCCGCCGCGCATGGCGCCGCCACGCATGCGCGGCGCGTCCTTATGACCGGGGTCGCCGTATAAAAAGGTTGAGAACCACTGCCCTAAAAACATCTACCCAACCTTCCAGATCAGATAGGATTGGGGCATGCTCCTATTCCCTTCCCTTAAACTTTGGCATCTTGTGGGATATAGGAAGCATGTTTTTTCTATAGTCACCCTGCCTGCAGTTTGGCAGATCTCTACCCCCTTAGCTTTCTGAAAACTTAAAAACTGGCTTTCCCCAAGTGCTAGGGTAATCCACTGCATGTGAAAGCTTAAATTTGGTATCAGAATTTTAAGCCTGTAGTTTTTAATAGATGTATATATTTATTACAGGTAGTCTTCAATTTACAACAACTGAGCCCAAAATTTCTGTTGCTAAGTTAGACAGTTATTAGCAGTTATTCCTCCCATTAGCAGTGGGAGGAAGATGGCAAAGATCAGCTAAGGGCAGGAGTGGTGGAGCATAGGACAGCAGGGCAGAGGACAGAGCAGCCGAAAGGGCAATGCTGGGAGGGGGGTGATAGGAGGATGGGAGAAGCTGAAGCTGGATGGGCTGCCAAGTGCCCAAATTTGGATCATGTGACTGCAAGAGAGGAATAACAGATGTAACTTTGGGGACTGGGTGTATTCAGTGCTATCATAACTACATGGTTATGAATGAATGGTTGTTAAGTAAGGAATACCTGCACTGCATGACTCTTTGAAAGAGTAGTCATAGTCATCTAAAATAGAAAGAGCTCTATCTTCTAACCAGGTGGCTCTACAACAGTATCACTTATTCTTTCCTTTTACTCTTAACCAAATGCTTTTAACAATATTTCCACACTGATTAGTGATTTCCTATATATATTAGGGACAATACAACATCCCTACTATTTCTACTGGATCTATTCCCTTTGAATAACTTGATGTGGGCCACTTATAAGCAACACTCTGCCATGTTTCAGTGTTGTCTATGACTGCATATTTGTCTTCCTAAGGTCACATCCCTTGTTCTCTCAGTTTATTTCCCATATTCTACATTTAGTGTAAAAACATTTTTATAGCATATCTATTGCTATCTCCTTTATAGTTCTGCGAACTCTGAATCTCCTTTTGATGTCCTGCTTCCTACTTAGTGTTCTGTTTTCTTGGCCCGTGTCCTTGGTTGCATGCTTGGTTCTGGGCTTTTGCCACTTTCCCTCCATGTTAGTGCTCTCTTAATGAGTCCAGTGAGGTTTCTATCAAACATTTTCTTCCCAGTTTTTGTAAGCTATATCCTTTCCCTTCCCAAGCATCCTTCATAAAGGGATCATGGATAGTCTTTTTGATGATACGATGTGCAGAGCCTACCTACAGAGTACTAAGACTCACACTAAGCTAAAGATCTCTTGCTAGGCAGGAGTGGACTGGTTTTTTTTCTACGAAAAAAAGGACAGCTTTCCCCCCAAGATTTACAAGAGGCACCACAGGCTGGGTAGCACTGAAGAAAGAAAGAGGTATTCCTCTGTTTCCTATCAGAGAACTAACAGATTTTATAGCAAATGTCTGATTTCCTAAAGAAAGCTTTGAAATTAGAGGGGCCATGGGTTACTTAGCCATTTTGATCTTCTGAGTATAAAACCTGTTGTTGTTTTTTAAAAAAATCAGTTATTACCAATTTTTGATAATTTTGTTCCTAAAACTGACTTGACAGGAACTATCATCTGGCATATTGGTAATTTAAGTAATAATTGTTCTCTTATTCTTGATACAGGGAAAAATGGAATTCCAAGAAACAATCAATGTGTGGAAACAAAAGACCCATATAATGAGATTTTTTCATGAGACAGAAACACCACAACCCACGGATTTCCTATCCAAGTTCTACAAGGGCCACGATCCTTGAACTAAATCATCAATAGAGAATAATGACTCTATTTCTGTTCCAAATAAATGCCTTTATCTTACTATTCTTCAGCAAGAAAGTATTCAAGTAGGCATGCATTATTTATATTGATTCTGAGTAACTGGTGCTATTTCATCCTGGATTCATTTTGCAAAATCTACTTTACTATAGTTAAGTATATTGTATCACTTCCACAGCAATTAATGTCTTAAATAATATATAACACTGCAATCTAAAAAGTAACACTAAATTTCTTTTTAATATATGGTGAGATTCTTTTGGATATATATGCAGAAAAGATTTTATTTGGGAGAAAGGGAACCAAATGCAATTCAAAATATTACATTCTTAGGAGTCTATTGAATTTTAAAATATTTATTTTAGAGGGTACACCACATTCATGTGTTTACTGCCGCAAAATTGTAGCAATATTCCAAATTCTGGAATAAAAATCTCATACTGCTTAAATGTTGACGTAGAGATGGAGGTTGCTTATTAACACTTTTTCAAAATTTAGCAACCTACGTAATACTTCCATTATACATCCTAATCCTATAATCTTTCTAAGGTATTTCAGCTATATGTAATAACAAATAAAAACCCAGGTAACTGGAAAAATCTAATAGTTATACAATAGCTGTTTAAGCAATTTGCTTTCACCAAAATTGTAATTAAAACTTTCTCAAAGTTCTATAAAAATGTGTATTTATACTGACACTATTTATACTGATTCAACTGAATCAAATAACAAGATTGAGAAGTTGCTTTATGTACTTTTCTATAGCCTTGTAATTTTGTTCCTTTCAAAAAGAAAGCTGACATTCTATTTTATGTAGTATCATAGTTGGACAGCATAATCCCAAGGATATTAATTCAGCAGGACATCTCAATTCAGTAAAATATATATTCCTAAAAGGATGAGGACAGCAGGTGAATATATAAAAGAAACACACGAGCCTTGATCTCTAATTCTTAATTTACTATTCAGAGGAATTCTTCACACAGTGAGGGGAAAAAATATTTGATCCCCTGCTGATTTTGTACGATTGCCCACTGACAAAAAAATGATCAGTCTATAATTTTAATGGTAAATTTATTTTAACAGTGAGAGATAAAATAACAAAAATCCAGAAAAACGCATTTCAAAAAAGTTATAAATTGATTTTCATTTTAATGAGTGTGAAATAAGTATTTGATCCCCTATCAGCAAGATTTCTGGTTCCCAGGTGTCTTTTATACAGGTAATGATCTGAGATTAGGAACACTCTGAAAGGGAGTGCTCCTAATCTCAGCTGGTTACCTGTACAAAAGACACCTGTCCACAGAAGGAATCAATCAGATTCCAAACTCTTCACCATGGCCAAGACCAGAGCTGTCCAAGAATATCAGGGACAAGATTCTAGACCTACACAAGGCTGGAATGGGCTACAAGACTATCACCAAGCAGCTTAGTGAGAAGATGACAACAATTGGTGCGATTATTTGCAAATGGAAGAAACACAATAACTGTCAATTTCCCTCGGTCTGGGGCTCAATACAAAATCTCACATCATGGAGTTTCAGTGATCACGAGAACGGTGAGGAATCAGTCCAGAACTACACAGGAGGATCTTGTCAATGATCTCAAGGCAGCTGGGACTATAGTCACCAAGAAAACAATTGGTAACACACTACACTGTGAAGGACTGAAATCCTGCAGCGCCCACAAGGTCCCCCTGCTCAAGAAAGCACATGTACAGGCCGTCTGAAGTTTGCCAATTAACATCTGAATGATTCAGAGGAGAACAGGGTAAAGGTTGTGGTCAGATGAGACCAAAATTGAGCTCTTCGGCATCAACTCAACTCGCCATGTTTGGAGGAGGAGGAATGCTGCCTATGACCCCAAGAACACCATTTCCACCATCAAACATGGAAGTGGAAATATTATGCTTTGGGGGTGTTTTTCTGCTAAGGGGACAGGACAACTTCCCTGCATCAAAGGGATGATGGACAGGGCCATGTACTGTCAAATCTTGGGTAAGAACCTCCTTCCCTCAGCCAGGGCATTGAAAATGGGTCATGGATGGGTATTCCAGCATGACAATGGCCCACCAACACATAGCCAAGGCAACAAAGGAGTGGCTCAAGAGGATGCACATTAAGGTCCTGGAGTGGCCTAGCCAGTCTCCAGACCTTAATCCCATAGAAAATCTGTGGAGAGAGCTGAAAGTTTGAGCTACCAAACGTCAGCCTCAAAACCTTAATGGCTTGGAGAGGATCTGCAAAGTGGGACAAAATCCCTCCTGAGATATGTGGAAACCTGGTGACGAACTACAAGAAACATCTGACCTCTGTGATTGCCAACGAGGGTTTTGCCACTAAGCACTAAGGCATGTTTTGCGACGGGGTCAAATACTTATTTCACTCATTAAAATGCAAATCAATTTATAACTTCATTAAAATGCGTTTTTCTGGATTTTTGTCTCACTGTTAAATCTACTATTACAATTATAGACTGATCATTTGTCAGTGGGCAAACATAAAAAATCAGCAGGGGATCAAATAATTTTTTCCTCTCACTATTAATTAGGGATCCAGTGTATTCAGAAATAAGGTATACTCTAAACATGCAACAATTGTTGAATCAAGACATAAATATGTATTCTTAACTAGATATAGCATTTAAACACCATTGTTTACACATGCACAGAGCAATCCGTGGTACAATGGGTAGTCCAGCTGTCCCCAAAATATGTTCTTTAGACATCTGAGGAGCGGTGATTAAACATTGATATTAGAACACTTCATTATGGCTTTGTTCCTCTTACTGCCACATTGTAGACCTGTAAAAAACAAGAAATTTTTCACGCTGTGGAACTATTTTGTGATTACAGAGTATGAGTTCTGCACTATTTAGAACTAGTAACGCTTAGGACGGGTAGGCAACCTTGGCTCTTTTATGACTCGTGGACTTCAACTCCCAGAATTCCTGAGCCAGCCTGGCTGGCTCAGGAATTCTGGGAGTTGAAGTCCACGAGTCATAAAAGAGCCAAGGTTGCCTACCCCTGGCTTAGGACAAGAGGACAATTGGATAATACTTTTAAAATGTGCAACTTGCTCTAAAATGGCATGAGGGAATAATTATTTTCCTGATATTAATTTTTGGAGTGTTACTTCAGCTTGAAAAAAATGGTGTATACCGGTTTCCTGATTAAGAAACAAAGAATGTATTGGCTCAAATAGAAAAGATTCATATGCATATCAATATACACATCAGAAACACAATGCTGTTGCATGATCACATACACTATTAAATCAAAGTTAATGTATCTTTGGCAAGTATTTAACATAACATACTTCTACTAGCCTATTACAGAATAAAATATCAAGTATGTACAAACTCTTGGAATATCAATTCCCATCATGTTATAGTTATACAAAAAATACTACTAACATAATTAAAAGTAGGTAAAGCATAACTTGCATTTGTTTACTTTAGTTTTACTGCAGAACTAAATGTAGAAGATAACAGGAAAAAGAAAGAGGAAGGCATCAGAAGGACAGGGACCATTCATGCAATGATAATGAAAAGATGTTAAGATATGGAAAAGATATAAATGGATGGGTTTCTGTCCCAGTTTGAAACTGCAAATTTTCTTTAGAATAAATATGCACAATTAGATTATAAAGTTGTTTGAAGTTGGCAGCAAGGAGCTTTTAATTCTCAATTGTGTAGCCATAAACAATAATCCAGTTTCTTCATCCTAAATCTGCAAATTATGTGGTCAAAAATATATGAGGGAAGAACAAAAATAGATTTTGTTCAGTTCTTTCAATTCCTTCAAATTTATTTTTTATTTGGATCTATAAGGGTTTTTTTTGTCCTAGACCAGGGGTAGGCAACCCAAAACACTCAAAGAGCCACTTGGACCCGTTTCCCACCAAAAACAAAACACTGGGAGCCGCAAAACCCTTTTGATATCTAAAATGAAGATAACACTGCATATATCCTTTTTTACCTTTATTATAGGTGTGTGTATGTGTATATGTGTGTGTATGTGTATACACACACACACACACACACACACAGACACAGACACACACACACATATACACATTAAAAATAAAAGTAAAAATATGACTCTTGGGAATATCCATACTATTAAAACAATGATCACCAAGAGAATGCTTTAAGAGAATAAAATTACATACATACACAGGTAAAAAAAGGATATATGCAGTGTTATCTTCATTTTAGATGTCAAAAGGTCTCTCTCTCCCTCCCTCTCTATCTGTCCTTGGTCTGCCACTCCTCTTCCCCCACTCTCTCTCTCTCTCCCTCTCTCTCTCTTTCTCTCTCTTTCTCCCCCCCCCTCCTATCTGCTGCTCACCTGGCAAGCTTCAAGCTGTTGTCCAACAACCTCCGGGGTAGGCAACCTCGTCTCTTTTATGACTCATGGACTTCAACTCCCAGAATTCCTGAGTCAGCCTAGCTGGGCTAGCTAGCTCTCTCCTGCCCTTCCTGCTTCCTTCAGAGACGCAGCAAAGGGAGGAGCTCCGCCCAGAAAGCTTTTCAGCTCCTCGGAGAACACTGTGAGTGCACTCTCTTTTACACATACACACACACACAAACACACACAAAACACACACACACAGAGACACACACACACACACACACACAGAGAAGCAGGGAAGTGCAATTGCCTCTCTCTGTCTCTGTCTCTCTCTGCAAAGGCAGAGGAGGCTGGGAGCCACAGGGGAAGGCTCAAAGAGCCGCATGCAGCTCTGGAGCCGCAGGTTGCCGACCTGTGTCCTAGACCATGGGTGTCAAACTCGCTGCATCACATGACGTGTTGTGACATATTGCGATTTTACATTGCCGGAGCTGGGGTGGGCGGGCTGGCAGTTTAACACCCCTGTCCTACACCAACTATTCATTTAATCACTTCCCCAAATCTCCCAGCATGCCAGTTAGAGGATACATGCAGCTGAGAAGGGTTGCACAGCTATAATTGTACCTATTAGTCGTCATCATCGTCATCCTCTGGTACAAAGATATCATGTTCTTCAAGCAAAGCTGCAAAACTTTTGCTGATTTGTGTCCCAACATAGAGAAAGGGAATTACAACGGCAAACACTCGGACAAGACCAAATGGCATCTAAAAGGATTAATGAAAAGCTGGTTAATATCTCTTGGCACATATTCAAATACACATGAACAAATTTATAGCTGCCAGAGTATAACTAGAACTGATGGAAAGAACAAAAAGAATCACACAGCTGCCTCAGTAAATTTAACTACTGTCTTATTGTAGTTACTTTCAGGTGCAAGCATTTTTGAAAATTCCTTCAAATGAAGAATTTATGAAGAATCCATAGACTGAATAAGTACCCAACATCATTAGAATAATAAAGATAGTTAATAAAATACATCTTCAGGATATTTCAAATTACAAACACAGATATCACAGAACACAACTGTATCTGCGTTTAGATGATCTCAAATTTCCATTCCAGTCATCATAACCATCTCGCTCTTTGATTTTCAACTTACACGGGGCTTTCGTGTCCCCTCTACATCGGTCCTCCTCGAATCTAACCACTTGTCAGGTGACGCCCAAGGGTGCTTTTTCAAGAGGCTTTTTTCTTGAAAAAGCACCTTTGGGACAACCATGACCTGGATGACTGAGAATCTCCATAGACATTGTAGATCAGTGTTTCTCAACCTTGACCATTTTAAGGCATGTGGACTTCAACTCCCAGAATCCCACAGCCAGCAATGCTGGCTGTGGAATTCTGGGAGTTGAAGTCCACATGCCTTAAAATGGTCAAGGTTGAGAAACACTGTTGTAGATGAAGCTGCCGCTGAGTTTTTAAAAAACTGCTGCGTGGCTTACGGCATTTTCGGGGATGACAGAATAGGAAACCGCTTGCAACAGGATAATGGCATCCCTGAAATAAGCCGGCCTGCTGCATAATTGCCCAACTAACTTAAAAGCGTTCACGTCAATCACGACAAAACCAGATTAAGTGGGAAGGGCAAGTTCCAGTAATATTTTCTCATGATGACTAACGGAGGGGGGGGGGGGGAAGAGAGCACGACTTCAGCTTTCGAAAAAAAAAGTCACTGTCCGCAGCGCTTCTCCGAGACGAAATAAAGTTCTCGCTCTTTAACAACGCGTTATTTCCGCGTCTGCCCCACAACTGTTTTATTGCTAGGCAACGATCGAACACTAACATAACCCGCCCTTCCAAATAAGCTACACGCGATTGGCTGATACAACCTGCCAATTTACACCATCCTTGCTAAGCGATTGCTCAGTTTGGTTCCTACCCGTTTCTCCTTTAGAAGCTACGGCTACCTTTCACACTCACTCACTTTGACGGGCTTAGGCAAGATGGCGCCAGTCCGAGTGACGGTTATATTTCGTGAGGATAAAACGGTTGCTAAGGGCGCCTTCTGGTTCTCGACGGGTCGCAACTTTACCCAAGAGCCAGCCACTGACCACAACCGCGAAGCCATCTCCTCTAGCCAGCTCCTCCCCCAGGAATCGGACACTTTCTTGATAACCGGAACTAGCGAAAGAATGGGCGGTGTTTTTTCAAACCTCGCGAGATATCAATAGGCGGAAGGAGAGATTATTTAAATAGCGGGTGTCTGAAAAGTTTGAATTAGTCTTTTTTTTTAGTTTCCGTTTAGATGACACCTTTAAATGCTTCTGGAGCGGCATTGAAAGTTGCCAATAAAAAATAGAATAGTTTAGTAACGGAATTGTGTCTTATCTTTGTATCTCTGCTGCCCTCTTGTGGTTCGTTGGAGTCTTGTAATTTGGGCTGTCCTGACTTATTTCTCAGTCTTTGTCAACGAAGGCAGACCAGACTAATAGACATTGTGAGGGCCTAAAACTATTTTTATTAGAGAAATTGCAGTAACAGAATCTTGCAAGACTAAATGTGTTTCCCTTTGCTCCTGTGAATTGGGGGGCAGAAAGACCAATATCTCGGTCATGAATTCAAGTCATCTTTATCTGATTGATCGCCTTGGTAAATGATCTTACTGCCTTCCAAGGTCCTCTATAAAATTTAAACAGGGTAGGAAAAACACAAGTGGCTCTGGACTCTTCTTATAATAGTGATGGGAAAGAAGACAGAGGTGGGCTAAGAATGGAGGCCTCAGCAAAGTTCTGGCATTTATGGTGCAATTATTTTTCTGGAATTTTTTTCTTTGCAGCTTCTGGCCAGATCCAGTCCAAATTAACTCTGTACCTCAAAGCAAAGACCTGTTTTCTACTTTGAAGTCAGCCAACCCACACGTTCCTTCTAATGCTTCAAGATGCAATTTCACCCTGTTCATGCCCCAAATTGCCTTAGACACAGGTCGGCAACCTGTGGCTCCGGAGCCGCATGCGGCTCTTTGAGCCTTCCCCGGTGGCTCCCAGCCTCCTCTGCCTTTGCAGAGAGAGACAGAGAGAGGCAATTGCGCTTCCCTGCTTCCTTCTCTCTCTCTCTCTCTCTCTCTCTCTGTGTGTGTGTGTGTGTGTAAAAGATTGCACTCACAGTGTTCTCCGAGGAGCTGAAAAGCTTTCTGGACAGAGCTCCTCCCTTTGCTGCGTCTCTGCAGCAAGCAGGAAGCAGGAAGGGCAGGAGAGAGCTAGCTAGCCCAGCTAGGCTGACTCAGGAATTCTGGGAGTTGAAGTCCATGAGTCATAAAAGAGACGAGGTTGCTTACCCTGAGCTTGTTGGACAACAGCTTGAAGCTTGCCAGGTGAGCAGCAGATAGGAGAGAGAGAGAGAAAGAGAGAGAGAGAGGGAGTGGGGAAGAGGAGTGGCAGGCAGACCAAGGGCAGATAGAGAGGGAGGGAGAGAGAGAGACAGAGAGAGAGAGAGAGCCTTTTGACATCTAAAATGAAGATAACACTGCATATATCCTTTTTTTACCTGTATGTGTATGTGTATTTTCAGCTCCTCGGAGAACACTGTGAGTGCAATCTTTTACACACACACACACATATATACACACACACAAACACACACACACACCTATAATAAAGGTAAAAAAGGATATATGCAGTGTTATCTTCATTTTAGATATCAAAAGGATTTTGCGGCTCCCGGTGTTTTGTTTTTGGTGGGAAATGGGTCCAAGTGGTTCTTTGAGTGTTTTGGGTTGCCTACCCCTGGCCTTAGAAAATTTCAAAGCTCACTTTGCAGCAATCTGTATCTGACCAATAAATAGATGGTTCCAAAATTGGACATTCAACCAATGCTCCTCACTTCACATGCCTCATGTTCCATACTAAATCTAAGTAGTCATTGTGATGGGAGGTTGAAGCCAGCAAGGCCCTTTCCCTCTGCATAAAGGATTGGTGAAATCCTAGCTATTAGTTAGCCACTGAACGTCTATGATGGTGGTGGTGGGAGTATCTAGAAACAAATGAAGGCAGAAGTTCCTTTCCAGTGGAAGAACTGCCTTTTCAAGAGCGCCAACATTCTTACTGTAAAAACAATCTGTTACAATTCCTCTGATGCTATGGCTGAGCTGAAAAAAAAGTCAATTTAACCATCAAGCTTAGGTAATGGCATGGAAGCTGAAGAGATAAAAACAAACTGATAATTTCACCAAAAATGTATCAATAAAACTGCAATTTTGGGAATCACTAGAAAATGTGATGGCCTCCCAAGATAAGACTTTGCAAAGATAAAATTATCAGGGATTGCCACATGACAGCGTATATGCTATTTCTACCTCTCTTCTTCTTATGGGCCACAGACTATTAGTCTCTTTTTGTTCTTTTAGAAGTTTATAACTTTGATAAATCTTTCAACTCTAAAGTAAAAACAGTTCTCCTGATAATTTTAAAAACCTACATATTTATTCATATTTTTGTGTAAATAAAAAACATTCATGAAAATCTGTGCAATTCATAAATTTGTTTCCAAGGTAGACTCCCTTCTGGAAACTATAAAGTAAGTGTACGCTATTTTAAAAATGATCATTAAGTTTGAGCCACAAATAATTATGAAATAATATTGTACTTTCCTATTTTGGATAAAATGAAATTTATAAAACACATTTTATATAACATGCAATATAACATTACCAGAATGTTATAGGTTATAAGTTTATTATAAAATTTAGCATGCTTTTTTATTACTAATAACAGTATTATTGGTTGTGATCAAAAATACTGCAAGAAAAATCATTTCTGGAACCAGGTATATACATCAATCACAATGTAATTCAAACAATTCCCCAAACTTAATTTTACTAATATGTATCATGGCAATTTAGTTTTATCTTACTGAGCAGTAAAGATAATTCATTTTCTTTCTGAAATAATAATCTTAGATTACTGCAAATGCCCAATAAACTAAGTATATAACTGATGGCTATTACTAATGCTGTATTAATCTGTAAGGTTATAAATAGTTCTTGTTTCATTAATTCAATAATTAGTTACGTTCAAAGTCATAAATGTAAGCCATTAAATTGTGAATGCCCCTCCCCAATCAGAAAGCAGCAGAATGGTAGATAGATTCTGAATACTGAACACTAAAAAATTAAACTCATATTCACATGAAATTATGTAAGATTGCTTTGGATGACTTCTTGCCATTAATCTGTAGCAATATAATCTAAGAATTTAGAACAAAGTATCAAAAGAAATAAACATAGCTTAGTCCAGTCTTAGAAAACTATTGTATAGAAGTGACATTGAGGATGATTAAATGATCACATATTATATTAACAATTTGAGAGCAGCTGCTGATATTTATTTGGCTTTTCTATCTAGATTGTGTTGCTTTGGTAACCATACTTCTGCTTTTTCTACCTTTTGTGTTAGTGCAAATAGTTGTCAACTTACGGCCACTATTGAGACCAAACTTTCTGTTGCTGAGATAGTTAAGTGAGTTTTGTCCCATTTTACAATCTTTCTTGCCACAGTTGTTAAGTGAATCATTGCAGTTAAGTTAGTAACATGGTTGTTAAGTGAATCTTACTTCCCCATTGACTTTGTCAGAAAGTCACAAAAGGTGATCATGTGACCCCAGGACACTGCAACCGTCATAAATATGAGTCAGATGCCAAGTGCCTGAATTTTGATCACATGGCCATGGGGATGTTGCAGTGGGGTTGTGTGAAAAACAGTCATATGTCAATTTTTTTCAATGCTGTTTTAACTTCGAAAGGTCATTAAACAAACTGTTTTAATTCAAGGACAGTCCATATAAGAAGTTCCAAAAGATAGAAAAAACACAGGTAAGGTCAGATAAAGGCATACCTAAGGTATGACTATGAATCATATACTGTTCTTATATTTTATGAGGCTGCCCAGTGTTGCATCTGAGTGCATGAGGTGGGACGTTCCTGAATAAAAAATATATTTTGACTATAAATTCTTGAGGTGGTCGTATGGAAGCAACTTTTCACAGCTTTGTCCTCATTTGCATGAAAATCTAAAATATATGAAATGTCTATAGTTAAAATATAATGTATACATTCTATGATGTTTTTCTAATGAACAGAAAGGCAACTCACTACTATATTGTTCCAACATCTATCAAAATAGCTACAATATACAGATGAAATACAATTAATAGTTGTGCATGGATAAAAAAGGAGGAAATGATACATGGATTCTTCTCTTGCATGAAGAAGTAGACTTTCTGAAATAAAGGTCTGGAATACTCTTTTGAGCTGATATAGCAGTTTCTTAGAAATATCTTCTTAAATTCTGAAAGGTGCATAATTAGGAATATGGTGTTTTTAGAATTCCTGGCAATAACGTGTGGTGGCAATGTATAATAGAAAGCAGACTTATTAATCATCCAGTCTGGAAGATGCAATAATAGCTGTTTCTTAGTTTTTATCAACTAGGAATAAAACCTGCAAGTAAAATAAGGACTTCTGCCTTGGGCAGAGGGTTGGACTAAAAGACCACCAAGGTCCTTTCCAACCATATGATTCTATAAGCAGAAACCTACCTTATGTCCATTTCTCTCAATCCCACAAAATGTATTTTCTTCAATGTGTTCCTATTTCTACTGTCTTCTTTCTTTCCATCCACTCTCTTCTCACCTCTGCAATTTCATGACCATACCAATTATGCAACTTTGAGAAGCAGGTAGTCTCTGGAGATACAGGACTTTCCTGTGTGGCAGAGGCAGACCCAGCCAACAATGCTCCACCTACAGCACTGCCTGTCAGTTTTCGACGAGGAGGTAAAGGTGGAGGCTTCAGAAATCCTCCACTGAAATCAGAATATGCCATTTCTGCAAGAGTGCAACTATCGTTCCATGTGGAGTAACCATTCTCCAAGATGACAGGATGTTCTTGGATGGATATCATCATGGGATTTGATAAATGCCTTTTGCGGCCAGAAGACAATTTCTTTGGTGATTTATGGCTAGCAGCTAAACTCCTCTGAGCCTCTTCCAGCTGTTTCTCTAGTTCCTTAACTACTAGCCTCATATAATCAAAGCTGGCTCGTGAAAGTGCCTTCACCCAAGCCTCCATGGCAACTTGGCAGTCAGCAACCAACACATAAGATTTGCCACCACTGCTATCAAAGCGGATGGCAAAAGCAAATTCCTCAGCAGCTTCACATAGTTCCACGGTGCAGCCCTCTAACACAATGAGACCCAGGGGGTCACAGCAGTCCCGCTCTTCAAAGTAGAACAGCAAGTTGCCCTTGAGAATGAACCAGCAGCGCTGGTAAGAGGTGATGTGATGGTTGTGATGATGGCGTTCCATACGCTTGCACAGAAAGCCAGTATGATCGGCTGGAGAGTCACATGTGGCATAATGTACCACACTACGTTCATTGAGTTTCATTGTGGTAATCTTCCTTCCAGAATAGAATGAGAGGAAATGTACTGAATTATCACACAATGCATATTATTAATCCAGATAAAACTTAATATAACACTATATACACACATATACACTACTGGTATAAAATACTGATTATACGGGGATGGCAGTCACAACCATGCAGGCAAAGGCATGACTCTTTTTATGTGCAGGACTTCAATCATGTCATCATGCACACCACTTTTGACTTTTGACAGCTCCTTTCCAGTGAATGCTCCTGTCTGCTATTTAACCTTCCTTCCTAAAGATCTTATTGTGGATATTTTTTAAAGTAACAAACTCTATGGAGCTAGACCATATAAACACTAAAATTTATTTATTTATTTATGAGACTTATATACCGCTTTAAGTGCAAGCACTCTCTAAGCGGTGTACATCAGTAAGCAATGTATATATATATTTACGTTGCCCCCAACAATCTGGGTCCTCATTTTACCTACCTCAGAAGGATGGAAGGCTGAGTCAACCTTGAGCCGGTGAGATTTGAACCGCTGACCTGCTGAACACAGTCAGCTAAAGTGGCCTGCAGTACTGCACTCTAACTAACTAACTAAAATAATAAAAAGGGATTCTCTCATTGCTTCATTGTTTAATAAAATGAAAAATTCTTGTTGTTGATCTTTGTCATAACTACATTTATTTGCAACAAATTGCCACCTGCAGTGTAAATGACCATGGATTTTCCCTAAGAGTTTTGGATCCCCCAGATCCAAGAGTTGGAGTGTTTCCATCTTTGGTCCTGGATGGGTTGGCACTGCCACATTCAGACTAGGTATGTAATCTCAAGGTTTTCCTGGACTCAGATTCTGAAAATGTTACTGTGTCTATTCCTGGATTGTGAAGACTTTCTTATGGTCATTCATATCTTAATACCCTCATGACTGGACTCTGTAACACACTTTACATGGGGTGCTTTGAAGACCATCTGGAAGCTTAGTTAGTTGAGAATGCAGCAGCAGACATTGGGGCACAGCTTGTTGCACCTACGTAAAACTGCTATTTTATGAACTGCACAGGCTCTCAATAGGCTTCTCAGTAGGATTCAAGGTGCTGATTATCACAGGGGTCCCCCAACCCTGGTACTAGTCAGTGGCCTGTTGGGAACCGGGCCGCACAGCTGGAGGTGAGCAGCAGGCAAGTGACCTGTTTTCTAGGTCTGTGGAAAAAATGTCTTCCACGAAATCAGACCCTGGTGCCAAAAAGATTGGGGACCACTGGGTTATCACTTTTAAAATCCTACATAGCATAAGACTAAACATCTGCCTGACTCTTTGCTCCCATTGGGAAGACATATTCCAAGCACAACTTACTCCTCATACTTCTCTTTTAAACTTTACCATCTTGTAGAAAGCAGGGAAGCATGCCTTTTTGGTGGTTCCTCCTATGCTCTCCCTCTCATATGGCAGGCCTCAACTCTGCTCTTCTTAGGCTAAGTCTAAGACCTGCCTTTTCCCCTACATATTTGGATTCAGCAGCACTCCCTTTTGATTGCTTTTTATAACAATATTGGGCTTGATCACCATTTTATATCTAATATTTAACAGAACCCAGTTTGAAAAAAACTGGACTCACCTATTGCCCAAATCAGAATGGCCATAGAACACAATGCCCAAGGAGCAGCCAGGAGAGGGATGCCCATACCAGTCTAAAGTGGCCAGTAAGTGCCAGGCTGATCTCACTCCTGACTACACCACAAAGGAACAGTGGTGAAACGTGGGATTCTACCTAGCTGTGTCAGGAAAAAGTGGAAACACTAAAGGTAAGGATCCCCAAAGGCAGCCTGAGATATGAACAGGGAAACATATGAAGGCACCATTCTGAAGATACAGAGGAAGTTGTTGCAGTTATACAGTTATATATGACACAAGGTCCAAGTAGAAGTGCCACTGTATCGTAAGCAAAAGGCTGCAAGTTTAATTCCTGGCATCTCCAGGTAAAGACAGGAGGACGAACCCAACCCACGGCTCTAGAGCAGCCCTCTCCAACTTCGGCTGACTGTCCAGTTCCCTGAAGCCTGCTTTTCCCCAAGTACCTGGGGAAGACCAAATAGATGATTTCTTCAACGAAGTCATTAAGTGCACTTCCTCATCTCAGGCGGACCCGGAGCATGCAGAGACTAAAAGTTACCCTCGGAATTTCCTTTTTTCCTTTTCTCTCAGAAAGAAAACCCTTTTTGCAACCTTTTAATGTCACAGAGAAAAGGCAGGCTAGTTCAGGGACAGGCCTATCCTAACAAGCTGAAGCGACGCTTATCCATAATCGTACCTTGCTCACACCATTACCCAGAACGAGTTTAGCTTCGTCTTTTATCTACTCCCTGCTTTTCTTAAGCAGTCGCGTGTCCTCCTTCCTCTGCTGGACTCCCGTGTTACGGCGCCCTGGTCCTCGGGCAAAACCCGGAGCGCAGGATCATTAGAGCAGAAGGAAATCCTGCCACTACCCGGGGGGAGGTTTTTTTTTCGCAATCCAGATTTTCCAATAGCTTCCCGAGGGGAGGTTTTCCTCTTTTCAGCCCCCCCCTTCTCTTGGGGTCCTGAAAGCCAAGTAGGAAAGAAGCAGGCCGGATGTCAACGAGCAGAGGCTTCTCCATCGTTTTTCTGTCCTGCGCGATGGTATCTTTGTTCATTTAACATAAAAATTGGGTGGGTCATCTCCAAGTCAGCCGAAGTTTTCTCTTCCCTACCCGAAGAACGTTGCTTTTATTTGGGGAACCTAAATTTGAGACATAAGTGATATTTTGAAATTTATTTTACTATATGCACTGCTTCTTTTCCTCTAGAAACACATGGACATGGGTATAGTTCCTCCCTCTCCCATTTTGTTTTTCCGACAATACGGAGGAGATCGGTTGGGAGGCGATTTCAAATCACCTGCGAGATTGGTCACTGACTGGCATTTGAATTTAGTGTTCCCCAGTCCTCGTTCAACCTCCCCCTAATGTAACTCCTTGTCTACCACAACGTATCGCCTGAATGAGGCGAGGGGTAACTCCCCACTTAGTGACTACTCATGTCCTACCGTATTACGCGTGAAGAACCCCAGCGTTCTTTTAAATATGTTTTATTTTCGGCCACGAGAGGGCATCGCGAGGCCACGAGTACATCTGAACCAGACTGAAGTCAGAAAACAGGATCCGCAAGCAATTGCTAGGAGGCGGATTGCTTTATCTGGGCATCGTGAGTCGGTCGTACAGTACCGTATATTTGAAGAACTCTGTGAGTGTGGGCTGGCCCTGGAGAGCACATTAGAAATATGAATGAAGTCGACTTTCTGGGCCCGAGGATTATAGTTAATGAACAAAAGGTATTGCGTACCTATTCAGAAGGGAGAAGTACAATTGCTGCAGTGGGATTTGAAAAGGGAGATTTAAAAAAAGTGGACTAAAACTATCTTTTTTGTTTCTTCTCGGCTTCCTCTTCCAATCTGTGAAACGAATTCATTAGAAAAAGAGAAGGCAACTTGTGGCCCAAGAAAGTCTTCTGCACAAGATGAGACACTTCTAGCCCCCTGCCCCCCCCCCCATATTCCACAGAGAAGTTCCAATGCCTTAAAATAGGATTTGCAGGAACATTTCCATTGCAACATCTGATGGCAGATTAGTTTGTGGGTACAACATAAACTACATGATGTGTTCTGTCCAGCCTTAAGAAATTTTTTTTATTCTCCCACGGCCTGCCTACCACCTGCTTCTGCTCACTCAAACACATTCTGCAGTTGAACTACTGTATATTACTATCGCAGTGCACCAATCATGCATGGACACAAGCAAGACCCATTTAAACTGTCAACCACTTTATTTAAGCTGGAGCCTTTGCCACGGTTGACTTTGCCATGCTGGGGGGGGGAGCCAGCATTTCTGGAGTTGGAATATCAATTGGGATTGGTGGGAACAATTGGAGATCAAAGAGACAATTGGTGGCGGTAGGAAGACTGTACTTGCCTGAAACAGAAATCTCATGGTGCCTAGTAGTAAGTAGTAAGGCCAACCTAATTATACAGACATAGTTCATCTTTTCATTCTCACCTGTCATTGCTGATATTACTAGAAAGAGAAAGGAAGAGAGGATGGGTGAGTTTAAAACAGTGCAGTAAAGGGACAAAAGAGATCTGAAGAGTAGCTTCCATGGGTTCTGTAGTTAACCTGTCTCCGGTTCCATGCTGTTATTCCTCAGGCATAGGCATAAAAGCAGCCTGAAACCACTTTTACTGGTTTCCTTTCTAAGCCTTGGACCACTTCAGTTCATAAATCTGCCATACATATTCCAATTCGAATAATAAACAAAAGAGGCATCTCTGCTAAGGGACATAAAAGAGACGGCAATACTCTGATCCTTGGACGATTCAAAACGTCTCTTGGAGAAACTGTGCATGAACTTCATTACGTCCAGCACCGAGTGAAAAGGGCTGAGCTCAAACGACGCTCGCATACACGTGTCACAGGGAGAGTCTGCTTCCTCTTTTCCTCGGGACAAAAGCGAGGGTGGAGTTGACAGGACGCTGAGATCAGCACCTTATCGGCTCTACTATTGAGCAATCCAAGGGATCAGCTGATCGGTGGAAGTAAGCGAGCACGTGATTACCAGCCCTGTGCAGGAAAGCGATCGACTTGCAGGCTTTCGATTGTCGCTGGTGTAGTACTGGTTGCAGCTTAATGTCTGATAGTGTAAGTGTCCTGATGTGTCTTGAAGTTTGGATGGGTGATATACGTGAACGGTCGGGATGGGGAATAGTCTTTTTTTTCTTTTGTCTGATCAAAGATCGCAGTATATGAAAATGAATAGAAAAACGAATAATTGTTCCAGAGTACCTACTGATTACGATTACAGTTGTAGATTTGAATTAATTTAGGCCGTTTGTGCAATCAGTGAAATATGTTTTCATTAAATGAAAAATACCGAATTTGCACAATTATTTCACCATTGTCTTGATGCAGTCTGAAGGTTTCTTTGTAAATGCGGAAACTGGCTTGCAGCAGCCACGGGGAGGGGGGAGGCGGATGGATGCCTGGGATTCTAATGGACACAGCAATAGATTTGGCAACAGTTTTCAAGAAGTTTTCTATTGCCTTTCTTCATGATTTTTTTAACTTAGATCAGCTCACCTTACCATCCTATTCAGATACAAATAGGTCCCGCTGGGCCAGATGCTGCAATTCTGTTTCATCCCAAACAAGTACATTGTGCGTAATGAAACTTTTTGCCAAGTTGGAAACGGAACCAGGCATTGATCCTATGGCTGATTCTGTATCTGCACATCTCAGAAAATTAAATTATTCATATGAAGCTACTTACGCTAAGTACATAAGATTTATCTTAGAGAAAACTATGATTGAAAGTAGCTCTCCAGAGACCTTGCAAAAGATTTCCTCTGGTGTGCTGTCTGAGATTCATTCATAGCACACGTCAGATAGTGAACCTGGGAATTGCTATATGCTATTATCTTGCCACAAGCCAACTTTCCTTACTTGATGCCCTTCAAAGTGCGGGGCTGTATCATTTTGCGAACTCTACACCACACTTCATTTAGTGGATCTGTGGAATCAACATATTCTTTATGAAAGTGTAGTATAATAGATACTGGTTAGGAATGCTGTGTCTGTAATTTTGCTTCCATCACTGTGTGTGCTTCAGGATCCTGCTCTAACAGCAGCATGAGTTCCAGAATGCAACACTGGGAACTTGTGTGTGTGTGGTGTAAAACAGGGAAGGGTAAATGGAATCCAGAGTCAGTTTCTTTTTCAATTGTTGTCATATAAGTTTGCCTAATTCCTCCTGCAAACTGGGTGAGACAATCACAAATAAGAGTGATAAACAACATGTGGATTATAGGTAAGATCTCCAATAGAACATTGTGCTGACGGCAGCTAGTGGCATTATAGTATGAAATGGGATGGTACAGGTTGAAGCACCATTTCAGAAAGTAAATTTTAGACAGAGCTGGCATGGGGTGGTTGGTAGATGGATGTGAGCTTCTACCAGGTCTGTAATTTATTATTTTAAATGGTTGTTTTATTGTATTATCATCTTCAGAACAACCAAGCATCTTAAATAAGCAAAACATGTATATCACCAAGATAAACTTTTATGAATTACCATTAAGTTCTTGCTCTTTTTTCTTTCCTTTGAGTGAGTTTTGATTTTGGTAGCGGCCTGGACTAGTGCCTGCAATTTTTGTGGCAAGATTTTTGGAAATGTTTTGCAATTGCCTTTTTTCTAAGGCTGAGAGACAACGACTGACCGAAGGTCATCCAGTTGGTTTCGTGCCTAAGGTAGGATTAGAACTCACAGTCTCCTGGTTTCTAGCCTGGTGCCTTAAGTATTTTGTTTGCTGCCCAGAGTCCCTTTGGGTCAGTAACTATATAAATTTGTTTAACAAATAAATAAATTTTGGATATATCAACAGTGCTCTTAAAATCGGTGATTATCTACAAATAATATGCAAGAAAGAGTCAGTTTGGTATTGTGGTTAAGGCACCAGGCTAGAAACTAGGAGACTGGTTTCACGAAGCCAGCTGGATGACCTTGGGCCAGTCATTGTCTCTTAGCCTTAAAAAAAAAAGGCAATGGCAAAACATTTCCAAAAATCTTGCTACAAAAATTGCAGCACTAATCCAGGTAGTTACCAAAGTCAAAACTCACTCAAAAGAAAAAAGAGCAAAAGCTTAATGACCACTCATAAAATTTTATATTGGTGATATGCGTGTTTTGCTTGTTTAAGATACTTGGTTGTTCTGAAGATGATAACCATAGTTTCCAGGTTCAGGCAAAAAAGGTAACTGTCTAACTGAAGACTTCCAGGTTTCACTGCACATTGTTAAAACAAGAAAAACGGGTGCAGGCAGAGGTGAAAGCTTGTAAATATTTAACCTCATTAGATTTGGTGGAAAAGCCATTGAATGCAAACAGTTGAATGGAAACAATTGAATGGAAACAATTGAAAGTGATATTTCATTATGTCTCCTCCCCCCTCTGCCCACCTCTTTTGCAGTGGTCATTCCCCAATCCCTTGTCATGAAATGTATTGTCTTCCTCCTTCTACTCTATGCCTTCTCCCTGGCTTTGGAGAATGGACTTATGAGAACGCCCCCAATGGGGTGGCTTGCTTGGGAGCGCTTTCGTTGTAATGTTGATTGCAAGGAAGATCCCCATAATTGTATCAGGTAAGTGGGAGAACCTTGGAAATGGTACAAAATCCAATCTTTTTCTGGGTATGTTCCTGAGTTTCAGAATCCTGGGATTCAAGATGAGGGATGGCATCAAACCTAGAAAATCTGAAGCTCCAGGGTGGCATCTGCCTTCCCTAAAAGCCCTCATGTGTCTCTGAATATTGATGCCAAGTTGTAGTTTAATTTTCTGATTGAGCATAGTTCAGAAAAGAGTACTGAATCATTTTGCTATAAAAATATTAATGAAAATGAAAACATATGAGGAAATCATTAATTAATAGACCTTGTACCGCAATATACAAACATGTTGTTTGAACAGGAACCAGTAAAAGAGCCCAGCCTACAAGCTTTTGTTTATTCTCATAGTGACATTGGTTGAATGAGGCATATTTTAAGAAATAGAAGGATCCTGTCCATAAGGAAGGGCATTGATGAAAACATAATATTGTAGGGAGCTTTATTTTAATTTTACTTCCAGATTATTGCAGAAAAATAATAAGTATGAAAGAGTGATAGTGGGGACCTGACAGAGAAATGAACCTTTTTATCTATTGTGGAAAGTAAACTTGCATGACTGTGGCAGATTATGTCAGTGCAGTGTGAAGCCTGACATTGTCAGAGCAGTATTTTTTATGCCTGATTGTTCCCACTGGCTATTCCACATTGGTCACTTTGCTTGTCATTCTTGTTTCCTATGGCTGCTTTTCCATTTGTGGGACAGTGAGACTCTCTTTATGGAAATGGCGGACTGTCTGGCAATGGATGGTTGGAGGGAGCTAGGCTACGAGTACGTGAATATTGATGATTGCTGGATGGCAAAGAAGCGGAATATGACGGGACATCTGATTCCGGATCCAGAGAGGTTTCCCAGGGGGATCAAAGCCTTGGCAGACTATGTAAGTGAATATTTTTGATGTGAGAGTGAAATCAAATGATCTAGCTGTGATTTTTTAAAA